ATATATATATATATATATATATATATATATATATCAAAAAATGTATTAAAACAAATAAGATAATAATAACGTTAATGCACTTCCACAACCTTCTGAAAACTCCGAAACAAATATTCAACATTCCAACTTATGCCAGCCAGTAACTCAGTGGAAATAAGGTGGAGTGAGCTGGATTCATAGCTGGATTAACACAAGACAAATCGAGAGCATCCTTGCAAAACAGAATGTGGCCCAATAATCGTTTAGTCACGATTGTCTCGTTTTCACAATCGTTGCAGGCCAATGTTGTAATTGAATATAACATTTGTTTTAAAACCCAGCCCTATTTCAGGCATTCGGCTGCTGCTGCTCTTACCCAGAACGATTGATAATGAGCCAATGAACACAGAGTAAGCACGAGTTACTGACACACAATCAAATGACACCGTGATACACAGTCAGTTGCTGATACAACCGTGTCGTGTAGAGAGATTAGAAAAGTGATTCAAATGTGTCTGCGTCACACAGGAGTGGGATAAAGAGGAGGGAGGATGTGGAAGGAGTGGGGGGGTTCCCAAAAAAGGGTGGCAACAACCTGGAAATAGGCTTCAACTCGAATGCCACTAATTTAGTTGGTGGGGCCACTGGGTGGGGAAAGCAGCTGAGTAATGTTTTTCCCTCCCTTAGTGATTGCTATCAGCATTGATCATAATCATATTTGTTGAAAGTCCACATATTGTCAGTAAACATTCCTTGGAGATAGGAAACCAAAAAACATTACAAGCATACAGTGTTATATTGTATTGTGACATGTAAAACGATAACAAGCACTCTTGAAACCTCCATGTTCCCCGAAACTATAAAATGCACCTCCACCAAAAGATCAACACTTCATGTTTGCAGCGCACAGGTGCACAGATCTCTTTTTTCTGTGTGCAGCTAAGTCCTCTGTATTTATCTTTGTATGCGTTTCTTCCATCATGGCCTCTGGAATGCTGACTCACATATCTAGAAGCTGCCTTCACACCTCCAAGACTTCCAGTAATGCAGTAAGTGATCAGGAGTTATTGATCTTCCATGGTTGGCTGCAGAGCGGTTAGTCATTCAGGTATTTGCTCAAAGGCACTGTATCAGAAGTTGCTGATGAAGTGGAGAGTCTTGCTTCTTCAATATTGCCAACATGAAATATAAATACTAATAGGGACTACATTTGCCCCCTGAAAACTGTAGTGACACATGAAGGCGGAGCACAGTAATATGCACGTTTGCAGCATTTGATTTCAGTATTTTCAGTATTTCCAAAAGTTTGAGTTATGGGTAAATTATCCTACAATAATGACTTAAGGGTTAAGAAGAAGAGAAATCTCCGAATCAGACTGTCAGTTTTCTACAGTTTTGTCTCAAGCAGGCGTATGTGCATTTCACACAGATATTTATTCTGTTTGTTGGAAAAACATCCACACTACTCCTATATTGTATCATATGCTCATCCTCTGGTTACAGAAAAATGCCCTAAATCTGTTGAGCATTGACCTGCTTATAAGAAATGATGCTTTGTCCTAAGTGGGCCTCACTGGAAGTCAAAAAACTGACATACACAAAAAGGAAAATGTTGGGTAAAATGTGTGGAACCTACTGCTGTAATGTGAGCCGTCATGTATGATTGTTGATGACCTTTTGATATTCTTTAATGCTCTTTTTGCAACGCAAATTCCCAGACGGACAATAAAGGTTTAATTCATTCATTACAGCGCTCTCCACTTCCAGCCCAACTTGGAGGCTTTCACCTTGGGAACAGTGGAGAGTACCATTATACGCATGATCGCTCTGTGGCTTTTTATATTTTATAGCACAGGAAGCCACATAGAGAAAGACATGTGATTTGGTCTTCTATACTGGTCATAAAAGTATATTTTCTGAAAAACATTTGAACATTTTCCCAATGGTGGTGGTGACATAATGTCACATTTTGTCTCCAGTGCAGTTTAAATTGTTTTCAAAAAAGTGTCCTTTGGAGCTCGTGCAACATCACATGTTCTAGTTATGGAGCAAAGACCGGCATCTGATTGCCAACAAAGTTCATGTTCAACCAAGCAGAACATTTGCTCTAATGCCAGAAGCACTTGGAACAGTAGTGGTCATTGAATAAATGCTGCATCTCATTACAGTATCTAGATTAGATGATAGCGGTAAAATGGACGCCACCGTTCTCACTATAATTTAAAGGGAAGTTGCCATAAAGAGTTGCGTTTCTTTTGTTTTTTACAGTTACCTCTTAAATAACGTTTTAAATGATGTTCATTATTTCTTGAGCATGACTTGCAAAGAGATTTCTATGAAAAGAGATAACAAAGAACCACCTTGTTCCTCTTTTAGAATATACTGAATGTATGACTGCTGATAGCTGGTATATCGCAAGTGCATCTTTCTACTGTCATACTATATTCTGTATGGTGTGTAATAGTGTGATAGTAGAAAAAGAGGAAAACCAACTGAACACACTTGATGCGCTTGAAAGATAAAACAAGAACACACAAGCCAACTTCCCAAAATAGAGAGCAAGGAGCTAAATATACAGCAGGCTCCAGCGATGCACACCCGACAGCTAAAGCAGTGTCTATCTAAAAAGGCTCATGCCAAGACAACCAAACATCAAATATAAACATCATCCCAGATATTTATTTTGCAGCCACATCTCTATTTCCAGAGTGTGAGCCTTACTTCCAGACAGGCTGGTATTTGTTGTGCTGCTGGGGATTGATATATATAGAGGAGACAGACAGAGAGGGATTCCAGTGGGCAGCAGTGTGGCTGAGCAAGGAGACGGTGAGGAGAGAAGGCCACTGTGTCCCAAACGCTGACCCACCCTGCTAATGACAGGGTGCCGTCCGGACCCAGCTAACCCCAAATTACTGTCCTTGCCACCAGCTGTGACCGCTGCACTCTCAAAAGTTAAACGGCTCAGAGCAGGGGTGGACAATTACTTTTCCCAAGGGGCCACATGAGAAACAGGGACTGTTGTGGAGGGCCGGACCAATAGACTGAACTCAATCCTGCTCAATATTATTACACCTCTTTATAAAAAGCAGTAAATTATATAGTTTTGATAAGCTGCGAGTGGTAAGAGTAAATGTTATGATCAGTGGTGGTAAGTAAGTAAATATATTTACTTAAGTACTGTACTCAAGTACAAATTCAAGGCACTTTACTTTTTATTCAACTTTGTACGTCTACTCTACTACATCTCAGAGGGAAGTAAGGTACTTTTTACTCCACTACAAACCCTTCCTAACTACCCAAACTGAACAACAGTGTATAAAGGAGTTACAATGAGCCCCACCATAAACATCTGCAGCAAGAATAATTATATAATATATAATAGTAAAACAGGGATCGTGTTTCTGCAAAATTAGTACTTTTTTACTATTGTTTGTAGTCCAATGACCTCATTTTCTGTTTTTCAGTTCAGTGCGAGAGACCAAGTCTGTGTTGGGCTTGACATGTGATCGTCAGTGAGAGAAGATCTGTATCTGTATTTGTTAAACTTCATCACGGAGAATGTTTGTTTACAGATGTAGGTCGATCCAAAGAGAACCAAACCTTCTGAGCATGTTGCTTTTGTAGCTTAGCTTAGCAAAGCCTCAGAGGTCCATGCCCGCTCTGCATCAGTCAAGTTTTTGTATTTCTCTGTGTGTCTCGTCTCATAATGGCGATTCAAATTGTAATCCTTAAACACTGCGATCTGTTCTCCACAAATTAAGCACACGGCTTTACCTTTGACTTGAGTAAATAAATACTTAATATTTGCTAAAAACTCTACACTCTGTATCAGTCTCTTTTTTTATACATTGACTGACATTTTTTAAGGGGTTACCAGCTAACTCACATCTCCCCTAAGCTCAGTTCGCCAACACATTGCAGTGAAGCTGGTGCTCGCACACATTCACTAACATACGTAAAATTGAGAAGAAAAAACACCAACAGTCGCCTTCAAAATAAAATCTTTAAAAATGTGCTTAACTAAAGATTCAGAGCATTAATATAGGAGCAAACAACTATTTGCAATGTAAAGATATAACGGAGAAGAGAATGAAGTCCCTCACTCCCTCTCTGTTGTAATCCGAGCTACTTTGTTAACAAAGCATTTAAGTGCATGCGAGTCTCTGTTGTGTCCCACTGGCTAGCTCACGGCTGCCGCTCCGCACTGCGCTCATACGGGAGTTGCCGCTGATATCATCCGGAAGCATAGCACCCACCCTTCTGTTCCCCTCCAGGTTAAAACTGTTAGCTCCTTCAGCAGTGATACGGTTATTGGCACTGTTAATGCTGTTAGCACTGTTAGCCGGCAGCTCAGCCGTCTCCATGTTGAGAGTTGTTCAGAGGCAATAGATTCGCTCTGAATTCCGTAATGAGCACCTTCAAACATAGTGATATCCCTCATTGTCAGAAGTAAATATGCACAGGACGTCTTTCACCCGAAGGCCTTTTGTGCCGAAAACAAACAAGGCATAATTCTTCTATCGGGGATGTACTGCTTAAATGGGTTATAGAGTGAGAGCTGACCCCTGAGCACCTTTAACAATCAAAAGGGATTGGCAAGGCAACAATACTGCACCCGTTATGTTGGGCTTTGAATAAGTATACAACTAAGATGTAAAATAAGACGATTGGACAGCAAGAAGAAAACACTGACCTGTCGGTTCCTCTCATCGACGATCCGGGTGATCTGGATCTTCCTCCTCCCCATTGCCAAAACAACTTCCTCTAACAGCCGAAGAAGAATATCAGTGGGCTCCAGGTAACGGGCAATCCTTAACACATAGTTCCACTGTCAACTCTGTTACTCCGGTATCAGCTTGACATGGCTTGCTGAAAAAGAAGCGAGATGGAAACAAGCTCAACAAACAGTGGCACAAACATTTATAGTCAGCAAATATATTCAAATTATTGTAGAAGTCATATAATGCATGTTCACAAGAGCATCACTTAACAAAAAGGTCAGAGATCCCTTTCTCCAAAAGAAATTGGGCAGAACATCTTTGCACTGTGGGCTGGAGGTAACTACAGATACTCTCCTTATAGGTCAAGAAAGACAGATGAATACAGTGCATCTATACAGTTTACTAAGGGCTGCTTGCTGGAGGATTTTGTTTTATTTTTTTACTGTGTACAAATGTGCATCTGACTTGAACAGTGTTATGTGCGTCAGCTTGGTTCGACCTGATGGATCATTCTTCCAATGAGTCTTCAGGCGTTCTTCGTGTTTGTGCCGGGAAGGATGAAGATGTCAGCTGCTTCATTTCACTTGACAGCAAGGAGCTTCACCAGGAGGGCATAGAGTGCACCAAGGTTCACTGACCAACCAGCAGGACTTGGAAGTCCAGCAACAAAGACTTGATCTCTTCCAGGTTTCCCACCCACGAACACACGACTAAGCCAAAAGCTCTGCTGCCACCATTTGAACGCAGCATTTCTGCACAGCAGAGTGCAGGAGTGCTATTTCCCTTTCATTCTTCACAGTCGTTTCCAGAGTCCTTTTGGCCTCAGAAGTCTTTTACTTTGGAATTTAATCTCTGAACATTGGATTTATATTAAACACATCAAGGGAGGACTAAAAAGCACGCTAACAGAGGAAAACCACAAGAGTTAAATCTAGTGCAGCTACTTCATCACACACCTTGTCTAGCTGGCTCCAAACACTCCTCCACAGCGACACTCCTTCTCGTGCACCAACATGAATATTCAGCCCTGCAGTCTTGAGTGAACTCGTCTCTGTTCTCCTGCTCTCTCCTCCTGAAGGAGTGCCCACCTGCCTTGCTGCTGTGTCCCTCCTCTGCTCAGCGTTTCTGAGCCCTGCCTTACCCCAGAGCTCCTTAGCTCTTTCCTAATCTCATCTGATCTGGGAGGAGGCAGAGAGTGAGGACGAAGCCAGGCTTTATCCTAACCCTCTCTGGATTACTGCAGCATGTGGATCCTGGAGCATGAGCCACCAAAACCCCCACTGCAGATCCAGTTCACAGGGTTGGGAACTGGGAAATTTATTGGTGATTATTTGCCTATTGAAACGACCTCTATATAAGATTTAAAAAAAAATAATGGTATTGAGTGCCAGTCACTCAAATGCCCCATACAGCAGATGAATGAGGAACAAATCAAATGAAATAGTAAATCCCATGTTGATTTTAAATGCATTTAAAACCTAGTTGTGTTATTACTGTGGTCTCCCTTTGAGTTATTGTTTAAAAGATTTCTATTAAAAATACAGCCACCCATGCATTTCATTTTTTGTCCATAATGGCAATTGGTTTCAAGATGCTGCACGCTATCCTCTTCAGTTCTCCATCAGCCCAGATCCCAGCTGACCCTGCCAGGTCAGTTCAGGGCACACACTGTACAGACAAAGACTCCTTACATGCTTGGGATTTAAAGGTCACGCGGATTTATCCGTTTTACAATCTGGATGATTTGATGGCAAGACACAAATATTTTGCAAAAAAAAATAAAAAAATCCTTTGCACCACTCTCATGTGCTGCTATTTCCATGTGAAAAGAGACGAGACATTTCTTGCGGCGTGTGTTCTTGAGTGATGGTTCAGTTGAATTGCTATGTTATACAGTATATTGCTAAGTTTGAATCAGCTAAATCCTTGCAGCAGTCTAAAGTCACTCTATAGTGCTTTCTAGGAACATCCTTGAAAAGCAGAAAGTGTTTTCTAGCACGTTTGTGACTTACTGATACTGTCATAACTGAGTATTGATAATAATAATAATACATTTTATTTATATAGCGCTTTTCAAAATTCTCAAAGACACTTTACAAACATTAAAATCATCATAAAAAAAGCAAAACCCTAAAAACATAGAACACACATTCGTCACGCATTAATAGCAGTTCTGTAAAGGTGGGTTTTGATTCGTGATGATGCGTTGATCTGCTGGTTTAAGCAATAATCGATTTGAAACATTTTGAATCAAACTGAATCAAAACTTTCTCGCCTGCCCGGATTGAAAAGCTGAATCTTTGACTGACACTCGGCTGTTACTGCTGCTAATGCCAGTATTAAATATTAAGGCTACTACTGCTTATGCCACTACTTAATGACTTTAGCTTTTTTTTCCAGTACAGATGACATTAAGCCTTTAGATGTGAAAATCTACCAGTTTGACAACAGCGAAGATATCTAGTGTCCTCGTGCTGTCCTATGACCACTATATTATTTGCAATGTTGGTAAGAAATGTAACCTTGAATACAAAAATCATACAATACAAATAAAATACATATTAACCAACTGTTAATAGGCAATGTTCTCTCTTTGACGATGCATCTCTGTCTCAGGTTTCAGAGTGTTGTGGAGCGATGGAGCCGGTTCTACATTTACAGCTCACATCTCGGACAAGTTGTCCTGATCAATGCAGATGTAATATGTTACTATGGCAGAAACTCTATCCTGCCGACGTAAAAATCAATACAACCCACGGGATGATCCAACGGGCTGCAGCAACCAGCACTCACACATACATGTTCAAGGCTGAGCAATATATTGTAATTGCATTACATCCAAAAGAACAGTCACACCTAATCCAATACTCTGAGCAGCACAGTTTAAAAAGATGTTGATGGTAATTCAGGTCTCTTTATATTTTCGAAAAAAATGTTAACCATTAGAAATTTTCATCTTCCGATGATGTATCTAAATGGATATGTAGCACTTTGGAATAAAGCCATCGGTTTTCACAATTCAACACTGAACTCAAAAGCCTAAAACACAACCTACATATGCATCACATGACTGCATGAATCTGTATGATCTTCCTTTGAATAAACTCTATTGTATTATATATTATTGTTGGTCCCCAGCTTGTAAAATAAAAACAATTTAAATGATGGTATTAACACATTATTATTCTGGATATTTAGTACAGGAAAATAACTTCTACATTTATTTTATGAATTTCCTGAAGTATGATCAAACATCAGTGACGCAGCCCTTTCTCATCTATATTTGCCTCTGACCTTTTCAGTGCCTCTCTTTAACTTCAAAATATCCCCCCCCCCC